CTCTTTCTCTCTCTCTCTATCTCTCTCTCTCTATCTCTCTCTCTCTCTCTTTCTCTCTCTTTCTCTCTCTCTCTTTCGTTCTCTCTCTGTCTCTCTCTCCCTCCCTCCGTCTGTCTGTCTGTCTGTCTGTCTCTCTCTCTCTCTTTCTTTCTTTCTTTCTCTCTCCCTCTCTCTCACCCTCTCTACAGCCCTCTGTGTATAATAAACTACATTCACATAATGTATCATTTACCTCCTCTTACTTGCCTCTTGCATTCCTTTCCTCTGCACTCTAAATCAGCTTATAATCACTGTCTTCCCTCTCTGCTGACCTCTTTTTTTCTAGTCCCCTATACAAATCATTCGTTCTCTAAATACCCGATTAAGTATCCCTTTGCTCATATTCCATTGTTCCTCCTTCATCCTTTTCTTCCAGTATACACTGTAATAATGCTCCCGAGTTAGTTACCCTGTTTGCCTTTAACTCACCATCACACACACACACACACACACACACACACACACACACACACACACACACACACACACACACACACACACACCTTTATACACACATAAACGCACATTAAAATGTTCATGATATTTTTTCAACTAATTAAGACCACATGACCTCCAGTGAGATTGAACGAAACTAAATGTCTTGACACACAAGTGGTTACATTTTACGAAAAAAAACTTGGTTCAGTTGAGGAACAAAACTTCACACATTGTATTAGAGTGTTTGTATGTATAAGTTCTCAAATCTAAATTGAACGCCACGATGGGAGTATAAAACTGTGCAGGAGACAGCAAGAGCACTATCTGCCATTTCTTTAAAAACACAATCATCTTATAACATTCCAACTGAACAATGCACCCGCATATCGTGCGCTCCCCACTCAGAATTTAAAAAATAAATAAATAAATCCAGAATAACGTCACTGTAATGGGTCTACGGCCTTCCATTTCACAAGATTTTAACCCAACTGAGCACCTGTGGAGAAGGATTAATTGTGTTTCTCGTGGTGTAAAATGGTGAAATGGTATGAGTTTAACGCCCCTATCAACACTATTAGGTTATTTAAGTTCTCGTGGTGTGAGACACGGTCCCAGAACCATTTGTGAGGCAGAGTGGTGGAATCAGGCTCTTGTCAAACTAATCAAAGTGAAGAAACTGGCATTTTTCCGCAGGTTTGTGAATATTAAATTATCAAATTTTTGTTTTTTGGCTCATCACCTTTCATGTCCATTAAAGAACTCATTTCTGAGTTGATTTTTCTGAAAAGCGTTGATTAAATGCACAAAAATGTTAATTTTCAGTTACCGCGGACTCTTAAGCTAAGGAAATTAATAAATTTTGGCGGCCACTTTCTCACTAATTTTACCTCTGAAAACAGGTGACCCCCACCTCCTTCTTTTGCAAATATCTCGACTTTTATTTAAGATAAATGGAAAAATTTTTCATCCGAATAAAGACAAGTGAGCAAGCTTTAAGATGATACCAATAATTCTACAAGCCCAAAATTTAACGAGAGCCTGATTCCACCATGCTGCCTCACATTTATACTGCTGCAACGAGGCCTCGTTAATGCCTGAAAAAAAAAACATTTTGTAGGGAGATGTGTGCACTAGATATGCGGGAGATGTACTGATGTACTGTAGGCACATGAAGATCCCACAGCGTACTGATGTGTGACTTTTGATTTTTACCCTTTTTGTCTAATTTCAGTAATAAAAAGAAACCTTTTGCGAAAAAATAATCCTTTCACTCAATCCATCTTTGACATACTTCATACGTGAGGCAGCGTGATGGAATCAGGCTCTCGTCAAAATAATTAAAATGAAGAAACTTGCATTTTTCCACAGGTTTGTGAATTTTTATTAAATTTTTGTTTTTTGGCCCAACACCTTTCACGATCATTAAAGAACTCATTTCAGTGAGGATTTTTTTTAAAGCGTTGATTAAAGGCATAAGAAATGTAAATCTTCAGTTACCACGGACTCTTAAGCTAAGGAAATAACTAATCTTTGGCGGCCATTTTCTCACTAATTTTACCTCTGAAAACAGGTGACCCCCACCTCCTTCTTTTGCAAATATCTCGACTTGTATTCGAGATAAATGGATATCTTTTGCATCCAAATAAAGACAAGTGAAGAAGCTTTAAGATGATAATAATTAACTCAACATCCCCAAAAATTGACGAGAGCCTGATTCCACCACGCTGTCTCACATATTTCAATTTCGAAAGAATCATTATCAAACTTCAGCAAATACGAGCTGATCAAACATATAGAGTGGTACCTTTTTTATCGCTAGTATATATGTATATATTTGTTTGTTTATTTGTTTATCACGAATAAAAAGTATCGGTATTTGAAGCAAAGTCAGTTCCCTTTCGATCCATGCTACTCTTGTATTTAATTTTTTTAAAATTCTTTTTAATTCTTTTTCTTCTGGATTTACTCATTTAATAATGTTTCCTATTTATTTATTTATTTATTTATTTATTTATTTATTTATTTATTTATTTATTTATTTATTTATTGTATATGTGAGACAGCGTGGTGGAATCAGGCTCTCGTCAAAATAATCAAAGTGAAGAAACTTGCATTTTTCCGCAAGTTTGTGAATTGTTATCAAATTTTTGTTTTTCGGCTCAACACCTTTCATGTCCTTTAAAAAACTCATTTCTTTATGGATTTTTTTCAAAAACGTTGATTAAAGGCACAAAAAAGTAATTTTTCAGTTTTCACGGACTCTTAAGCTAAGGAAATAACAAATCTTTGGCGGCCACTTTCTCACTAATTTTACCTCTCAAAAATGGTGACCCCCACCTCCTTTTGCAAATATATTTCAATTTCGTGGTCGAAAGAATCATTATTAAACTTCAGCAAGTACGACCTGATCCAACATATAGAGTGGTACCTTTTTTGATCGCTAGTATAAATTTATTTTATATTTGTTTGTTTATTTGTTTATCACGAATAAAAAGTATCGATATTTGAAGCAATGTCAGTTCCCTTTCGATCCATGCTACACTCGTATTTAATTTTTATTTATTTATTTATTTATTTATATTTATTTATTTATTCATTTATTTATTTATTGTATATATTACTGTGTTTGCAGTTCTTGTCATTATTACTATAACTGATATTCTCACAATTATTTTTACCACTACGATTCTTTTTATTATCAAAAGGATTTTTGATATTAGTAAAGTATAAGTATTAATATGTGACGAAGGCATTCTATTTCTATACAGGAAGACGCCACAGTCCCTTTCCATTCCAAGGTCAGTTTAATCCAGGTTCTGGTTCCTTCCCACAACAAGGGTCAAGTTCTGGCTTTGGACGAAATCCCTTTGGAGAATCCAGAATAGGTACACCCCCAGACCAAAGCCGCACCAGCGCCTTCAAGAACCTTTTCGGGGAGGACATAGGCCAATCAGGAGGCATCTACGGATCCTTTGGAAGACCTCAGGATTCACAGCAGCAAGGCCACGGGTTTTCCTCCTCCAATTTCCCTTTCGCCTCCCCTTCTTCCTCCTCCTCCACCTCCTCCTCTTCCCTCTTCGCCTCCCCCTCCTCCTCCTCCCCCTTCGCCTCCCCCTCCGGCTCTCCGTCTCCCTCCTCTCCCTCAAAAGACAATGTAAGAGGTTCTGCTGCTCGCGCCATAAGCGGACTGGCCAGGAATCGTTCACAGAAGAATCTACTTCTGAATGAAGTCGGGAAATCGGGGAGGTCGGACCCCAGTGTGTACAGACGCCACCCGTTCTCGTCTCTCCGACTCTCTCCGCTGACACAGGTGTCCGGTGTGGCTGTGGCGAGCCCGACTGGACAGTCTCCCTTCTACAACCAGGGCGACTTTGGAGAGAGGCCAGGCTCCAGTGTTGAAAACAGGTTCGCCTACATTCTCTTTTGTTTAGTTTTAGTAAGTTTTACGGCACTTGCAACACTGTCTGATTATGGCGACGTCTTTCCTTTCCAGATAATCGTTCCTTTCTTCCCTCTATCCCCATTTCTCGCATTCTAATGATTGCGTGGTGTTCTGCTGTCTCCTTGTCTTCTTCATCCCGCAACTTTTTTTCCAGGGTCTTCAACACTTCTCATTAGTCAAATTTCAATTTTTGCAAACTTTCTTATTTATTTATTTATTTATTTACTAGCTGGGCCCCCTTTCGATGAAAGGAATGATTGATGTATAAACATCATCTGAAAGTCATTGGCCTACTATATTTTCACTCTACTGGAATGGAGCAACAAATCTTGAGAGAAAAGTGACATATTTATGTGTTTCCAGTTGCCAAACAGTAGATGTATAGATTAATTCTCTATTCTGCTTTCTTGGTTGTACACTCCAGAATTTCAAATGTGTGGTATCAGTGCGCACGATTAGTGGACGGAAATCTCACTTGTTTACAATGGCGTCTTAGAAGATGAACTGTCCCAAGATTAGATCTAAACGAAACTAATGAAAAATTGAAAATTATACAACAGTGACTTCAGACTAAAAAAAACAACTGTACACCCTTTGAATGATTCTGAAACACTATTAATTTTTTCAAATTCGAAAGTTGGGAAGTTTTAGGCTGCAAAAGTGACGGACTTTCACAAATATAATATGTATAGATTCATGTATATATTTATTCAATTTGTTCATTTATTCATTTATACATCTACTAAAAACGGAGGAGAGAGAGCAAACAGAATTTCATCATTTTAACTTACCACAGAGTACCTTTTAGATCTGTTTCTGTTTGTGTAACTGATGTAAATCAATACCAATGTTTCTAATGAGGTAATGTGGTTTAAGCGGTCTGTACGGAAGCCTTTTTAAATATAAATTATACAATAGTCTTTGACGTAATATTTAGTTCACCAAAAGCAATTGAAGTTTATTTTTGAAAATTTGAAAGTCTACACAACACCCTCCTGTAGGGGGGTAATTTTTCTTTACATATTGAGTGGGCCTAAAACGTCCCAGATCTCTCAATAAGCATTGAAATTACGACTGAAATGCTTAACAACTTTTTGAATTGTAAATAACGTAATGTCATCTATTTCAGTCTTTTTAAAAAAAATAGACTCAAAATGCCGACGTTTCATTAAAACCTAAAACTAAAAAGACAGTCACGCAAAATAAGTAATGCTACTTCTGTGATTCTTCTAATGCATAACCCATCATTGTGAGTATGTTGCAGCTCAAGAACATGATGCATAGTGTGGTATGATATGGGTTAAATGTCCTTTTCAACACCACAAGGTTATTTAAGGGGCAGTTAGTCCAGAATTTACTCCATCCCCGATAAGAACGAACCAATTGGGTGAAGAGCAAGGAAAATTTCCTTAACAGAAAAGACACCTATTGGGTTAGTAAAGAGGCATGAACTACGTGTTAACGTCCAATTCCGAAATGATCGAACCAAAAAAAATGGGAAATTCGTGTAAGTGTATTTCATAAGGACACAGCGTCGGACCGGGCTGAGGCTCGAAACCCTGAACAAGCAGTCTTACGAATACGAGTCCAGTAGCCTAATCATTAAGCAACCGACGCCGATCCCTTTAAAAAAACCATCCTGAAGGGTTTTCGAAAAAAAATCGTCTGTATTGTGGTTCAGTGTGTTACCACTAAGTGAGTTTTTAAAAAATTAAGTACAGGCTCAAGGCTTCTTTGGAACATTGTCAGGTCATTCAAGATACCCTAAGATTGATCAGAATATTGAACAAAGGTGCTCCCATCAACACAGTTAGATCATCTAGGTGAGCTTCGACCCTGCCTATCAAAACAGAACCAGGCTGAAAGGAATACACTCCCAAAAGAGAGACGGGGTATTCGATTTTAAAGACTCCCCACAGGGGAATCAAACTCAGATCTTCTGCATGGGATGACGAAGTGCCTGATTGTTAAACTACAGATGCTGGCATATAAGAGATTAGACTCCTTAATGTTGCGCCTATATACAAAAATAGCCAGGTCCAGTGGGTGAAGAGCTTTGAAAAATTCCCAAACAAGTTTTTGAAACGCCAAATTGGAAATTTAAATTAGATCACCCGCACCTTTGTTCAGTTTGATATCCACTGAGCTAACGGTCCACCCAGACTATAATTCATTTTTTCTTTCCTTTTACCTCTTAGAGCACTCAACTATCGACATAGGGACCCGTTCGAGCGACCAATCAGCAGGTCGGTATTCCCCCTACCTAGCGTCAACGAACCAATCAAGCTCGACCTCGCCAAGGATGAACAGAAACGCGTTCACTTCGCTAAAAAGAACAATAAGTTGCCGCCTGCTCGGAAGTTGACAGACAATGATGACGGAAGGAACGTCGAAAGGCCAAGTTTGATCACAAACGGACCAAGTTTGATTGCCTCCCCTGGAAATGGGAACTGGCAGAAGGTGCCGGCCGTCCCCAGCTTACCCAAAGTCCAACTGCCAGAAAAACCATTAGAAACAAATCCGATTATCGGGAACAAAAGTGTTTCTAACACTAGAACACCTAAAGACAATGTTGTTTCTGGGCCAATTTCGGGTTTAAAAGAAACCGTGGAAAAGGATATTCCAGAACTGCACACAAAGATCTCAAATGAGTTTAATCAGGAAGAGGAACGAAAGGATCAAAAGAGCGAGACGCGACCAACTGATGTTATTGAATCAGTTCCAGGGAAATACTTAAAAGCTGAATCGGAGAGTGGAAGAAACGAAAAGGAAGCCGACATTGGCACCGATGTAATATTCCTGGACTCTCAAGGCACTGGAATTATTTCAGGAACACGTGAAACAGGTGAATCAACCTCCAGAGAGAAACCCCAAGCTAGCTCTGAAGAAAATAATGCTGATTCAGCTATAAAGTCCCCTGATCTAAATAGTTTTCAACGTGGGCAGACTGGTAACGGGAAGTCTGATCCAACCCCTAAAGGAAATTATGACATCACTGTTTTGACTGACGAAGAGATCACCAAGCAAGCAGGCGATGTAGCAACCACCTCCCTAAATAGCCCTCAGCTGTCTGGAAAGGATGACGTCACCCCTGGAGATTTGCCCGCCACAAAACGTGTGGTTGAGCTCACGATAAAAGACGGGACAGAAGAAGTGGTGTCCAAGAAGCGCCGTCTACCTACTGATCATGTTGGGTTTATACTTACCGATGACTTATACGACGACACGGATGATAACAAAGATGATGGCCTTAATAACAATTATGAGGACTTTGATGATTTTGATGACGATGTTGGTAGTTATGACATCAGTAAGGATGCAGACTCCAAAGACAGTGAAAATACAGCATTTGGAGACATAAATACAGGGGCTTCGAGTACTATTCCCTCACCACTCACTGTTGGGTCGCCCTTAACAACATACCCTGACCAGGACAGCAGAGTAGGAAAGACTGCATCAGAATATGATTCGTCTTCTCCAAACCTGGAGGAACGTCCCGCGGTAGGCTCGGGCTACATGGTATATGGTTTGGATGAAGATCCAGACTTTAAAGAAGGGCATAGAGAGAAAGATGAATTTGTGTATCCAGATTTTTCTGAACCTTCAAACCAAAACAACAATGATGTATCTGCAAGCAACCAGCAGGGTCAGGATTTGGGTAAAGACGACGAAAGCCCTAATGATTCTATGATCGAAAAAGCGATGAAAAATGCGCACATAGAAGAAGAGCACGTTAACCTAGACAATTTGAAGGATTATCAAAAAGATTTTGTTGATGACGATAACGATGGCGTCGATGAAGGGGGTACAAACGGCGATGGAGTCACAGATTTTAACGATTACAACTTCGACACATTCGGTGAGAAAGATTACATTTTTGGCAATTACGATAATGACGATGATGAATACAGCATAAACACTGACCCAGATGCCTTGAACTTTGATCTTCTCAACGCTGGGGAAGGTAATATTAACATCAAGAGATCAAGCAAAGCTTTTAAACCGGAGTCCAAAACGGTCAGAAATTTGAACGATGGGTCGCAAGATGGGCTGACTTCATCCAACAAAGCACTGGGTTCCAGAGACACTGCGTACACTGTACCTCGGAATAACAGAGACCCTACAAATTCCGAAATTTCAGGCTCAGAATCCAGCAGTACAGGAGATGATGCAGAGATCTCTGACGTGAACCACAGGGATGATAAAACAATTTTGGAGGCAGAGGACGATGTCCCTTCTGGTAAGTCCACTTCTTTATTTTGTTTTAAATAGTAAAGCTTACATTGCACGATCGGATATTGGGTGTTTCTCTCTCTCTCTCTCTCTCTCTCTCTCTCTCTCTCTCTCTCTCTCTCTATCTATCTATCTATCTATCTATCTATCTATCTATCTATCTATCTATCTATCTATCTATCTATCTATCTGTCTATCTACCTGTCTATCTATCTATATATCTATGTGTACGCGTGTGTTTGTGTGTGTGACTCTCTCTCTCTCTCTCTCTCTCTCCCTCTCTCTCTCTCTCTCTCTCTCTCTCTCTCTCTCTCTCTCTCTCTCTCTCTCTCTCTCTCTCTCCTTGGGTCTGTTTTAGAAGCATTTATTTACGGTACCAACACACACATTGCGCAAGGTGGGTAAGTGAAACGCCTTACTTGATCATTTTACTTATCAAAACAGAAGAGAAGTAGGCCCAAAGTCTGCATACTGAACACAGGAGAAAAACGTTGCAGAAAGGATGACAACATTATTACATGTACAATGATTATATACTTATAATGTCTGTTCCGGTTTTGTTAATTTGGTCTTTTTCGTTTCGAACTTTGGATCTCATTTTGTTAACAAAATTATTCTTTAGATTTCTTCGCAACTGCCGTTACTTTTCTGTTATTGTCATTTTGGCTTCTTATGCTCGCACGCACGGTGTGTGTGTGTGTGTGTGTGTGTGTGTGTGTGTGTGTGTGTGTGTGTGTGTTTGTGTGTGGATGTGTGTGTGTCGTCTTGAAAATCGTGAACATTTCCTCTATGACATTTTGTTCCTTAGCAAAGCCCATATACACCCTTCCAGTTATATCAACTCCACAAATGCTGTCTATTTGGACAACCCCCACCCCCATTGTCTCCAGAAACAGCTCCATACTGTAAGATGCACAGTGTGTGTGGCTTTGAGCACTCATGGTTGAGTGGGTCCTTGTGTTTGGCCACCACTGAACATACATTACGAACGACGCGTTTAAATGTGTCGTGTCGAAAGGGACTAGTGGTTCTCGGAATTCCAGAAGTTAAACAATATTTTCTTACTCTGTGGGAGAACAGAAATATTGTTTAAAGGTTACAGGAATGGAAAGATTACATTTTAAAAGATAAAAGGAAAGGAAAAAACAAATCAATCAATTTGTTGACTTTCCTTACAAGATCTTTTAAATTGGTACATTTTGCATTTATAGGTGGTTTTTATAAAAGCCATATCCGTTTTCGAAAATAAGTTTCTTCTTTGTGAATTTTATGCCCAACAAATTCCGTTTGAATGAATTATTTCTGTTCCAAATAACAACTTTTAAGTACAAATTCTGAGTGAGATATTTAGAAAAAAAGGTTGTGCAGTTGCTGGGTTGTTTGGGTTTGGGTTTTATTGGATCACCCTGTGGATGCTCAATCTTACCAACCCTATGCTTAGGTCGCGTGAAAACATAAGAAAATAAAATCTGGACGCTGACGGGGATCAAAGTCTGGACCTCCATGTAGACAGGTGATCACCATTCCTGTTGAGCTATTATACTGTGCACACAGAGCCTAACCATTATGTCATGTGTCTTGTATACAGTTTTTTTTTTTGGTCATTTGTTGATCGGAAAATGCATGCATTATGCATCTTTATTTTTTCTACAGATTTAATTTTAGCTAACAATATCACTCTTCTTTTTCCTTCAGATTCAGACCAGGAGCTCACAGATGGCTCAAAATCTGCTCTCGTCAAAAAAGAACCTGTTTATAAAGACGATTACTACGATGACGATTCCAGATTTGCAGACTACGAATATGTGTACACTCCACCTTCCACCAGTGGCTTTCCGACTACATCGAGATTCGGAGGGTCGTCTCCGGCATTTATCCGATCCCCTTTCAAGTCCATGTTTGGAAAAAGCGTGGACCAAGCTGAGAGAGGTTCGTTTGGCTCTTTGTTTCAAAGCCTGCCTCCGCCAGGGGGCGTTGGGAGTGGCAGGGCTGGAAATAGAAAAGGTTTATTCGACGAAAGGCTGGGACAGATCATAGAACGAAGACCGAGTCTAGACTTGTTTGGGAGAAGGAGAAAGTGAACAGTTAAAGTATGTGCCGTGTTGACAAGCATGAGATACCCCAAAAAGCGCTCCATGAGGAAGTGAAGCCAAAATCTTTCTCAAAATGAATACTGTGCAGTTTTGGTAAGAAAATTTAATGAACTATACTTTGAGCAATTTAAAATATGCTAATTATCATATCATAATTTTATTGCTACCGGTTTTGCTGTAGTCGTTCAGCTTAAAACAAATATATACAAATTTATCCCAACAGAAATTGTTTAAATTACTTGTTATGGTTCTCTGCATATTATAAAGTTACACTACCTTCTTTACGTCGCTGTAGTTCAAATGTAGAAGTCATGTGTGTGTGCGTGTTATTTCTTTGTTATTGTTAATTTAACTAAAGCATCGGGCATGGGAGGCAATTTGTTAGATGAAGGACGAGACAATGGCTGGCACACTTTTCGAATTCGAACTTCGAACAACTGATTCTTGGCCAATTTTATAGCATGGCGTAAGTCGCTTGGAAGAGAAAAGCTTTGAAATATAAATGGTTTCTAGGTCCTCGGATATTTGAACACGGGTAACATCATCATCAGAAAGCTGTAGATACTCAAATTATGAGAAATTGATGACGCGTTGCCTGGTTATACGACAACACTAGAAGATGCGCTGTTATGGGATGTAACTTCATTATTGAAACAGGTTTTTCAATTTTGTTTTCTCTATCAGAAATTTTTAAAGGCCTACAACAACATGTGTACACAGCGGCAATAAAACTTTCGACTTGGAGAGAAGCCTGCAAGGTGCTTATTATTTAACACATGAAACCAAAAATTGACACAGACATATTTCAAAGTATGTCAAAAAAGTGTATCGCCCTTTGTTTTGTTTTTTATCATGTCTCATGTGGTGGCACAGTGTTAAGCACACACTGTCACCCTTTGATTTCAAATGTTCACGTCTGTAACGGGCATTGTGACCCCTTGCAGTTCTGCAAACTCAGCACGTTCTGCACATTGATAAAGTCTGGGGGGGGGGGGGGTTCTTTTTCTAAAATAAATTATTGTGGCAGTCAATTCCACTCACGAATCAAAGCTTGTCCCGATCGGTGTACAATGTTAATGTCGTTTTGAGAGCTCACTTTTTGGGCCCATACAGATCAAGCGTAATTATTGGAAAGATGGCAAATGTTGGTCATAACAGGGCTGCCTTGTTCGATGTCCAAAAGTGTTTTAACGCCGTTGTATCTTTATTTCGGTGATAACTCTTCCAATGTTTGCATGAAATTGACGTGCAGAGCTGGTCGTTCTGAAAAAGCGATATCGAAGATGCCAGAGCAGTATCTGTCTGTCTTCCTGGTCAGTAATGACCTGTGGTCTGCCTGGTCTTGGTCTGTTAGATGTAACTCCAGTGACTTGGAACCTACTTTACAGGATATTGAGGGTAGGATGGGAGCAATGAAGCAGCCGCGCTTCTCTGCTGGCCGATACTACAGCTTGGGGTATTCAAATTGCCCAACAGCCCTCCTTGGGCAGCTTGTAAAGCTGGTTAAGTCTACAAAAACCAGCTGGAAGTTGTATGTTAACTTGTTTTTTACCGTTCTAAAATCCCTGATGTGATTATCCAAACACAATTTAGACGATTTCAAAATTTCGGCGGAACTTAAGTCTCAAAACATTTGAATTTGCAAATGGATCACGTGACCACGTACTCAAATTTTGTTAAGGAAAAAGATCAGCGTGGAGTAATTGTAAGGTACATGGTTGGTGATGTGCGAACTTTTGTGCATTAACTCACATGAACAAGTGCGTAGTTACAAAAAACAAAGTGGAAAGTTTCTATTGCCTCTGGGTATATATAAGCAAATATACATACACGTGTCACTGAATCATTTATGATAGCTTGAAATAGGCCGAAACATTGTTTTTGGTCAGCTGTCCTTGATCTGCTGTTGGTCTGACAGATATGTCCGCTACTTCCTTAAAGGGTTAAATCTCCTTGCCGGATAGACTCTATAAGATAAAACAATGTTCCCGATAATTATTCAGAATCGAAGTCACGACCCATGCCCATGTGTGCTTGGCAAACAGCCTAAGAGTGTGTCTCCCAATGCACGACGCGACGTCCTTGCCGCTCCAAAATCAATCTAGTAAGATTATAAAGAACCTGTATCAGTATACGCGACGTGACGTCTATCCGTGCGCGACCGTCGCCTGCGATCGGTTCGTGTAGTGATCGAGACCTCGTCGTGCGCGAGACACTGGGAATGTGACAGGTTTAAAGCATCACTATTGGTCAAAATACCTAATCAAGGAGTGCCGGTCGTGTGTGTGATGTGTGATGTGGTCACCGATAAGGATACACATCTCGTGACTTATCGACAGAGACATAGGCTAACAGTTACCCCCACTGACCCCATTGCAGACGGAAGAGAGTGTTCAGCAGCAACAGGTGAAAAAAGTGTGAAATTGTATAAGTTTAACGCCCGTATCAACACTGTTAGGTTATTTAAGAGGCGGGACATAAGAGTTTAAACGTCCATCTCCGAAAGAAGCGAGACAAGTGGGATATTCGTGAAAAGTGCCTCACAACATCGGGCGGAGCAAAGGCTCGAATAGCTGAACCCGCATTCTCTCGATTACTAGTCTGGTAGCTTTACCACAGCAACAGGAACAACATATACGAAGAATGCAAAAAGACATTGGTACAAAGTGGCAAACATAAAACTAATAAGTTAGTAAGGAAAAGAGAAAAACTGAACATTAATTATTATGAATATTTTCTCCCCTTTGTGTGTCGACTGTTTGAGCTTATAGATGCTTCTTTGTCGGTCTGTTTGGGTGTATGTCTCTCTTTCTCTCATTCACACACACACACACATACACACACACACACACACACACACACACACACACACACACACACACACACACACAAACCCAAAAAAATGTACACACAAACACACAAACTGACACGCACACACTCGCATACATATTAAATATACAAGTACACACTTCTCTCCATATTTTTATTTCTGTGTTTCTCTCTCTCTCTCTCTCTCTCTCTCTCTCTCTCTCTCTCTCTCTCTCTCTCCCTCTCTCTCTCTCCCTCCCTCTCTCTCTCTCTCTCTCTCTCTCCCTCCCTCTCTCTCTCTTTCTCTCTCTCTGTCTATCTATCTATCTATCTATCTATCTATCTATCTATCTATCTCTCTTTCTCTCTCTCTCTCTTTCTCTCTCTCCCTCCCTCTCTCCCTCCTTCTCTCTCTCTCTCTCTCTCTATCTATCTATCTATCTATCTATCTGTCTATCTAACTGTCTATCTCTCTCTCCCTCCATCTCTCTCTCTCTCCCTCCCTCCCTCTCCCCCCCCCCTCTCTCTCTCTATCTCTGTCTCTCTCTCTCTGTCTCTCTGTCTCTCTCTCTCTGTCTCTCTCTCTCTCTCTGTCTCTCTCTCTCTCTCTCTCTCTCTCTCTCTCTCTCTCTCTCTCTCTCTCTCTCTCTCTCTCCCTGTTTCAGTCTACTCACTTCAAAAACAAACCAGAGAAGAGGGTTCTCCAAAGAGACTGGTTTATCAAATTAAAAAATCAGTTAAGAATAACTCTTATGAAGAAAAAAAAATACACACAGACTTTCATAGATAAAAATCTTTTATTTTTCTCTTCATTTTGCCACCGGTGTTAAAATAGAAACGTGTGCTGCGAAGTCTATACGATTTCCAAATCAGTATGGCATGACTGATTAATGAACCACAAAATTCAGATAATGTATCGATAGTAAACTACATGTATGTTTTACCAATGATAGTAAATGACAAGATGGGCCACTCAGCCAAAAAAGCGTCCGCAGGAAGTATGCTCTTTGCTTCAGATGGCGCTGCAGTCTGTTTTGAAGCTCTCTTTCGTTTTTCCAGAAGAAGAATAGGAATAGCACCTCCTTGCGTGCGCAGATCGACTGCTGTTCATCAGCAGTTCGGGTACGTTCAGTGCGGAGTTTTAGGTTTTTTAAAAATTTTAATGACCTCTCGCCTTTCATTCTAAAGTCAAATTAAACGAAAAAAACCATCACCCTTTCCTCCGGAAAAGCTTTTTTGTCAGCGTAACCATTTAAAAAAAGCGTTCTTCCGAAATTTATCCCAAAACTTGCTAGTTTCACTTTGATTTTTTATAACTCAAGTAGGGTAACTCTGTTCGCAAAGAGTGCGCTTTTGTGAAGAGGGCGCCACCAAATTTTGAGGACACTTTTTTAATTGGCTCAAAGAGAGAAGTGGCCCATCTTGTTATGTACTATCATTGGTTTTACGCCCCGATCGACATAATTTTGATAGTTTGGGAGGCGGGCTGCCTTTGCTCTGCCTGTCGGGGTTCACAGTCTCCCAGCAAAAAGACGGTGTCGTCCAGCAAAAGGACAGTGCCGTTCAGCTACACGGAACTCAAGTCCTCACCAATACATCACTTGGGTCGCTTAAATTATCAAACAGCAAAACTGTTGTGGGTTTGGTTTTTTTTTTCATATCAAATTATAGAATTAGAATGACAAATTGAAAAGTCATGAATAAAAGTGACAAAAGATAATATAGTCTTTTTTTTTGTTTTGTAAATGAGCAGCTTTGCTCCCAATGGCCAGATCTAAAATCGTTGATGAAAAATTACACCACTAATGTACAGCAAAAGGGTACAACTAAAAAGAAACAGTAAAGTCTTCATGTACACCATCATTAGAAAGTATTTACATCATTACACAAAACTGAACAAATACAAATCATAATAATATGCTCCAACGGTTGTTCAAGGGTGATTGACATTATTTAACACACATCGTTCAAGAGTAATAAACAGATTTAAAGCATAAGATGAAAAGAGGGAAAACGAGGGGAAAACGAGGGGGGATGGAAGGAGGCATGAACAGCCTTGGCTCGACTCATTGGAAAGACTGGCCAGTAAGGAAGAGACTGCGGGTACAGCCTTTATTATTCAATATTTAGTCTATTCGGTTTAGAAATAAATGTTAATGTCGGGACGTTTCCTCGTTTTTTAATTTGCATTTTTATATTATTTTTTAAAATTAATTAATTTATTTATTTATTTATCTACTTCTTAATTTCTTCATTTCTTCATTTATTTAACGGCTCACAGTAATAAAGGGGGGAAAAGAAACAGGCCCTTCCAGTGGCACCCTTCAACCAGCAACTATCCCACATTTCCTATCCAAAATCTCCCAAAACAATTAAAAATATCACAAATTTGGCTATTTCGAAGATTTTAAATTACTTTTAGACTTAGGGTGATATCATTGTAGCAAAACTAAAAAGAAACTTAACATTTTTAAATAAACGCACAATAGAAAAGAACGCAAACTTTTTAAAATTGCATTTCAGAACACAGTCTTGAGTGAGGTTTAGATAGGCAAAGAATTTTTGACAAGGACCTTTTTTGTCAAATGACATCCTTTGACACATTATGACTTGTGTTATGATACAATAATTTGCTTCATATTCACACAATAAAAATGACGATGATGATGATAATGATGATGCTGATAATAATAGTAAAAATATTGCCTGTGTTGTTGTTGTTGCTTTTTCAAAATCAAATATACACACAACAAATTCAAATGCCACATAGAAAGACCAAATTACTCCTAAGAAATTCAAATATGCAATTGACGTCATAAAAAGTCATATTATTACAATAGCAAAGTGAAATGTAAACGTTGAAATCTCAAATGTAACATGTGGGAAATTAAAATACCACATAGCAATTTGAAACGTATATTATAATATACTTGAACTGGATTGGCGGGGGGGGGGGGGGGGGGGGCTAAAAGATTAATAAGAAATGTATCAAGGTAAGAAGTAAAAACGTTTTTTGTACCACAAAAGGTCAGTTTTAAGCC